ACTGCACCACGGCCGAAGGAGCATAAAGCAAAGGACAAAAAGGCGAAGACATCCTAAGAGCCAGGGCCCAGGCCATTTCCAAAGAGGAGGCAAGCCACGCCTGCCAACACGCGAGCCGGAAAGAGTAGAACAGGAAAACTGCATCCCGTAAGATCGGCGCAAGCAGCTTCAACAAGGCAGACGACGCGTGCACCGCCGAGACCAAGGCACCAGACCCCGGAATGGCCCCGAGTGCCCCTACATCCTCCCCAAGCCAGTCCGAAGACAGCTCCAGGAGGGAAAAGAAGCGCAAAGCCGAAACCAAGAGGCCTGGGGTACGCAAGTCCTCGGCCACCTGCACAGTCGACAGGGAGGGAACCTGCACATGGAGCTGCTGAACGCCAACATCCCAGGAAAGGGCAGGAGCAAACAAGCACTCATTGAGGTCCTCATGGTCAGCCCCCCCTCTCCCCAGGAAAACCTGAACAACCATCAAGACCTCGCGCCACTCAAGCGTGCAGGAACGACAGAAAGAATGCCAAGCCTCCAAGGCAAAAATAGTTCAGTCCGTCAGCCAGGACGACTCCGGAACCTCGTAACGGACCCAGAAAGAGAACGAATTCCCAAACCTGAAAGACAATGGATCCATCACCGAGATGTAATCTGGGTCACGCAGGAGGTAAGGAGCGAGGGCTGCCCGCACTGCAGACGGTTGGATGCGGGAAGCCATAAACCTCCAGAAAGACGAAACTGACACACCCGTGGGAACAAGGGGAGGGGCAGATGCCAAATCCAACTTGTATGCAGAGGGGGGAAGAAGAGAACCCCCACTCCTTGTAATAATAAGCCCTGCTCCGAGGGTAGAAAAACCCAGGCAGGGCGCAAGGCCCCCAAGTCACATCCACCCCAGCCCCAAGATCCCCCTCCTCAGGACCCGGGGCCGAGTCATCCCCTAGAGCACCAGCCCCCTAAAGAAAAAGCCAGTGCAGCCGAGTAAGCCGAACAGAAGGGGGCCCACTGGTCAGACCCAGAGGCTTCGGCAGGGAGATCGGACTCGAATGCCTCCGTCTCCACACCGGAAGGGGCATCCCCCAAGATCGCTAGAGACTCAAGACCATCTAAACCCTGCCTTGATCCCAAAACCCTCAGACACTATGGGCCAGAAGCACAGGGAGGGGGGGGGCCCAGGACGCACCACAGCAGGGAAAAGATGAGGGGTGTGGACTGAACCAAGGTCGAAGCGACCCTCACCCCTCAAGTCCGGGTCCCTATAAGCAAAACGGGGCAGCCTCAGGGGATCCGGGCGAACAACCACCCAAGTGCGCTGCAATAACCTAAAACGAGCATGCAACACCTGTGCCGCCTGTATCCGTAGAACATCATCTTGAAATTGGGTAAACCGAGTCACTAGCAAGCAACAGAACTCGCATGACTCCGGGTCGAAGGTGTCACCGATCCAACAGGCAGCGTGACTAAGGCAAAAACCATGAGGGTCACCCTGAGTCAAGGGGACCGAGCAACCCTCGAACTCGCACAAAGCGAAGGGGTACTCCGGGAACACATCCATCAGAACCACGCACCCCCTAGGGATTTCCCAGGGTCCTGAGCACTTAACGGAAACTCATGCCCAGGTAATCCCAGGCAGGGTACTGCTAACCGGCACCCAAAACTACCAAACAACTGTCTAAAGCTGAACCCCAGGGACGTGTACACTCACAGGGACCTAGCAGGGGGCACCACCATAAAAAACCGTGCACAGGTCAGGCACAAAAAAGGGGGAAACAAGGCAGACCCCCCAACAAGGCGAAAACAAAAAGAAAAACAAAACCCCGCAAGAGGATGATGTACCCCAAGGAACAGATCCGGTCACTGTAAGTGGTGAAAACAAGCTACGCAGTACCCGGCGCCCCACCAGTGCAAACTGCCTCTTACCCTAAGGTAAACCTGGAAGACAAAACCCCCCAGCACCCAAAGGGCAGCCGAAAACCAAACAGTAATACTGCTTAGCAGAGACAGACCCTGAGGAACTTGTGGAAGGTAACCCCAAGCCCCAAGGGCTGTACTTACAGGGCACCTAGGGATGATAACCCTAGGTGCATGCAGCCCGACTACTGAAGAATAACTCCTGGCTCTCGCACCCCCCCAGATGACAGCACCACACTCAAAGCACGGTGCTGGAAAAGCTGGAGCCAAGCACATGACCTCCACCTCTAGCATCAGCCTAAGAACTGATGGGTGGATAGCTGGCGTGGGAAGGGGGGTCTGGTGCTCCCCTTTCCCCCTCCTGGGGAGGGAGGAGCTGCGCAGAAAGCGGTGTGGTGGTGTGTGACGTCATGCTCGTTTCTTTTAGGGGAGTTCTATCCAGTTGTTCAGCTTTTGGTAGCAATATTTTCACCGGAATAGGGGTTTGTTTTGGGGTGCTTACCTTTCTAGGTGCCTGACCCGGTCGATGGCAGACATAGAATGCTTCCAACCACACGGGGGTTTCTATAGGCCATTGTTCCCCATGCCTCTCTGAGGGGGCCAGGTTCTGGCTCGTGGTCCCTGCAGACCCACAGAACTCCATACACATGACTGATGCCAATGTCTGACATTAGCATATCAGCCTAGTAAGCTCCGGGGAGACGAAGGGGCTCCCCCCCCCCCCAGAAAAAAAACAATTGTCAGGGACAGGAAGCCCGAGTGTATTCCTACACGTTAGGCTTATATCACATCCCCTCCCCCCGAAAATTCCAAAAATCTTCTGGAAAACAGAATGAGGTAGTGTGGCATTTGCTTTTATTTATTTATTTATTTATTTATTTATTTATTTATTTCTGGTGTTTGTCTTTTCTTCCTGTTGCTCTTATTATGGATTTCCTGATCAAGTTTACTTTTAGGATCAGTATTTTCCCTAATACTATAGCTAGGTTATCTTGAGGTTATCTTGAGGTTATCTTGAGATGATTTCGGGGCTTTTTTTAGTGTCCTCGCGGCCCGGTCCTCGACCAGGCCTCCACCCCCAGGAAGCAGCCCGTGACAGCTGACTAACACCCAGGTACCTATTTTACTGCTAGGTAACAGGGGCATAGGGTGAAAGAAACTCTGCCCATTGTTTCTCGCCGGCGCCCGGGATTGAACCTGGGACCACAGGATCACAAATCCAGCGTGATGTCCGCTCAGCCGACAGGCTCCCTGTTAACTCCCTAGCTGTTAACAGCTTTGCTTTGCCTTTGCAGCTTCATTACAGCTTTAAACTCTGGTCAGCCGTATCACCTCGGGTAAGCTTTTTCTTACTGCTCTTCTATTTAATTAGATCCTGCTTGGACGTTGGACCGGTCTCCTGACACAACATGAGATATGCTCTACATCAGGAGCTTTCTCTTCATTCAAGTCTGGCATTCTTCATTTTGTATGAATCATCTGCTTTGTCATGGAGCCTTTTGGAGACATTTTTGGGGTTCTTCACAGCATAGTGGTTTTAGATAGGCTTTTCTTAACACCTAAGTCCATGTTTTCCAGTTATTGCCACATCTAGTACAATTATGTCATTCTTGACTCAATTGAGAATCCCAGGTGGGACTGAAATAATTGGGCACATTTCCTTTTACCTAATGCCTCTATTCACTTAGCAGTAAATAGGTACCCAGGAGTTAGTTAACAGTTGTGGAGTTGGGGGAGGTTCAGTAGTTCAACCTGGAAGCGAGGACACCTTGATACCAGCCTAAGATATATACATACACATGCTGCCTGTTCCCTGACAAAATGAATTATCTCCCAACTTATTCATTAGTTGGTGATTGTAGGTTAATCTTAGGGTTGAGGTCGTGTTTTGAGGAAGGATGCTATATACACTCTTTCTTCTCTTCAATGTTTTGCTCCATGATTTGGCCATGTAGATTTTGAAGCACAATTTGCACAAAGTAAAATAATACTTTCCTAAGATCCCTTGCCTGGATTTTTAGTGTGTGTGGGGTTTTGGATAGGTTCTTTTCCCCCCTGAGCTAATCCTCTGTAGTGCCTGCAGTGGTTCTTGATCTCTAGGTTCTATTAGTCTGGGTGCCATGCTGCTTGCCCTACAGCATTCCTTGTGCACTGCTCTGTACCAACAGGGTCTTTCCACTTATTTATTTACCATTTCTTTTGTTGAATATTCTAATCTAAGGAAGAAGTCAAATGAGATAGTTGAGAAGTCAGGTTTTGAGTTACTATATATGAAAGTGCATTTCTAAGTCAACATGTTGGCTGTACCCACTCTGATTCTTGTCTGTTTTATGATGTCACAAAGTATGTGGGATTGCCTGGGTGTGTAGGCCTGGAGGTATCTGAAATGCTGCTGTTTTGTTCTCATCAAATCAGTTACCCTGATTTAGGGAGCCGGTCGGCCGAGCGGACAGCACGCTGGACTTGTGATCCTGTGGTCCTGGGTTCAATCCCAGGCGCCGGCAAGAAACAATGGGCAGAGTTTCTTTCACCCTATGCCCCTGTTACCTAGCAGTAAAATAGGTACCTGGGTGTTAGTCAGCTGTCACGGGCTGCTTCCTGGGGATGGAGGCCTGGTCGAGGACCGGGCCGCGGGGACATTAAAGCCCCAAAATCATCTCAAGATAACCTCAAGATACCCAAGTAGGCCAACTGATAATTACTGAGAGCCGTTGGACCTGGACCTAATTTAAATTGTTATGAATGGACTGCTAACAATCCATCTGGGCTGTACTGAATGTTGACTAGTGAAACTTTAGCACCATTACAAACCTGCCAGGGCCACTTGAAAAGTATTTTTGTTGGTATCGGTGCTAACGTGTTATCTTGCCTCACCGTACATCAACCTTCCCTTCTAACACACACACACAGGATCTTATTTACTGTTGAAAGGTGCACACAATGCAACAGAAAAAGTAACTCAATCAGTCAAGGATTTTTACACTACCTATTTATTTTGTACTAATAAAATATTATTCAATAAGATTTTGCTTGCTGGATAAACTTGTGAATTGAACATAAATATATTTTGTGTGTAAAGATTATCTGATGAGACTTACCCTATAACAAGATTAACAATACACAAGTGATATATCTTCTTCTCTGGATCCTCATAGGCCAATTGTTCCTCCTCTTTCTCAATCTTCCTCATGAGCTCCTCAGCTTCCTCATTCTGACTGGTCATGATATAAGAGACGCACAGGTTGGCTAGAACAATGGCACTCACATTCAGAATCTGTGGAGAACACACTCATCAGATCACGGTAAACCTTCTCTTCAGTAACTATGCTTGCTGTTATATACAACTCATCAGCTGGCACTCATCAGGTGTATATAACACTATTTTCTGTAGCAACACTATTTTCTCTTCCTACAGTGTTTCTTGCTACCAGTAATTCAGGTACATTCTCTCATACGGCCAGCAATGGCATCACTACAGTATTACTGTACTTCTAAACAAATACTATTTCCTTGAAATAAAATAGCACCCAAATCTAAACAATTATACACCTTGAAATAAAGCAAAAATTATTCAGAAGAAACCTACTGTATATGCATAATTTTCCCAATTATATTTAATATATCCTTACATTGTCATAATTCTTCTTCACAATGGGTTCATAAAACCCAGTAGCTTCCTTGAATTTGTTCTCTTGCATAAATAGAACATGGGCTACATTCAACTTCCAAACATCAGATTCATTGCAGAACTCGACTGACTTTCGGAAAATTTTCTCGACTTGGGAATAGTTTTCCATATCCCAATATATCCTTGCCTGAGCCATCAAGACTGGGATGTACCTGAAAATATTGAAAATACAACACTTACAAAAATAAATAAATAAATACTGCATTCTCAAATGTCATTTAAAAACAAAAGGGAAAAGTTTAAAAACCTTAAACATTTAAAAACAAAAGAGAAATGTTTATACACATTTTACATGAAAAGTAATATTCTTCAATGTAAGGAGAGGTTCATTAAGAAGGTGAAGCCAAGAATGTTTGAGAGGGATGTAAACCTAGTGAAGGCCTAATATGAATAATTGGAATACTGATATATGATAAACGTGATATATGCAGATAATACAATTCTTATAACAGTGAGATAGGAATTATGTAGACTAGTTAAAGAGTTTCATGTGTGTGTAATTACCTAAATGTAGTTACACAATGAGAGCTATGCTCGTGGTGTCCCGTCTTCCCAGTACTCTTTGTCGTATAATGCTTTGAAATGTTATTAGCCTCTGAAATCAATTATTATTGAAATGATTTTGGCATCTACCATCTTCTCACCTAACTTGCTCCCACCATCTACCACCCTGTTTGTAAAAGGACATTTTCTAATATTTTTTAGCACTGTTGTTTCCTTGTCATATGATAACTGCACTACCCTGTGAATCAATGAGTGATGATAGCAGCTAAGGGGTTAATCTTCATCAACTGGTGGTGAAGGGAGAAGAGAGGGGAGGTGGAAGAGAAGGAAGAGAGGGGAGGTGGAAGAGAAGGAAGAGAGGGGAGGTGGAAGAGGGGGAAGAGAGGGGAGGTGGAGGATGAGGAAGAGAGGGGAGGGGGAAGAGAGGGGAGGTGGAATAGGGGGAAGAGAGGGGAAGAGGAGGAGGGGGAAGAGATGGGAAGAGGAGGAGGGGGAAGAGAGGGGAGGTGGAATAGGGGGAAGAGAGGGGAGGTGGAAGAGGGGGAAGAGAGGGGAGGTGGAAGAGGGGGAAGAGAGGGGAGGTGGAAGAGGGGGAAGAGAGGGGAGGTGGAAGAGGGGGAAGAGAGGGGAGGTGGAAGAGGGGGAAGAGAGGGGAGGTGGAAGAGGGGGAAGAGAGGGGAGGTGGAAGAGGGGGAAGAGAGGGGAGGTGGAAGAGAGGGGAGGTGGAAGAGGGGGAAGAGAGGGGAGGTGGAAGAGGGGGAAGAGAGGGGAGGGGGAAGAGAGGGGAGGTGGAAGAGGGGGAAGAGAGGGGAGGTGGAGGAGGGGGAAGAGGAGAGGTGGAGGAGGGGGAAGAGAGGGGAGGTGGAGGAGGGGGGAGAGGGGAGGAAGAGAGGGGAGGTGGAGGAGGGGGAAGAGAGGGGAGGTGGAGGATGAGGAAGAGAGGGGAGGTGGAGGATGAGGAAGAGAGGGGAGGGGGAGGAAGAGAGGGTAGGGGGAGGAAGAGAGGGTAGGTGGAGGAGGGGGAAGAGAGGGGAGGTGGAGGATGAGGAAGAGAAGGGAGGTGGAGGATGAGGAAGAGAGGGGAGGTGGAGGATGAGGAAGAGAGGGGAGGGGGAGGAAGAGAGGGTAGGTGGAGGAGGGGGAAGAGAGGGGAAGAGGAGGAGGGGAAAGAGAGGGGAGGTGGAGGAGGGGGGAAGAGAGGGGAGGTGGAGGAAGAGAGGGGAGGTGGAGGAGGGGGAAGAGAAGGGAGGTGGAGGAGGGGGAAGAGAGGGGAGGTGGAGGAGGGGGAAGAGAGGGGAGGTGGAGGAGGGGGAAGAGAGGGGAGGTGGAGGAAGAGAGGGGAGGTGGAGGAGGGGGAAGAGAGGGGAGGTGGAGGAGGGGGAAGAGAGGGGAGGTGGAGGAGGGGGAAGAGAGGGGAGGTGGAGGAGGGGGAAGAGAGGGGAGGTGGAGGAGGGGGAAGAGAGGGGAGGTGGAGGAGGGGGAAGAGAGGGGAGGTGGAGGAGGGGGAAGAGAGGGGAGGTGGAGGAGGGGGAAGAGAGGGGAGGTGGAGGAGGGGGAAGAGAGGGGAGGTGGAGGAGGGGGAAGAGAGGGGAGGTGGAGGAGGGGGAAGAGAGGGGAGGTGGAGGAGGGGGAAGAGAGGGGAGGTGGAGGAGGGGGAAGAGAGGGGAGGTGGAGGAGGGGGAAGAGAGGGGAGGTGGAGGAGGAGGAAGTGAGAGGGAGGTGGAGAAAGGGAAGAGAGGGGAGGTGGAGAAGGGGAAGAGAGAGGGGAGGTGGAGAAGGGGAAGAGAGAGGGGAGGTGGAGGAGAGGGAAGAGAGGGATGTTGGTATTGTAGCAATGTAAGAATACCTTTCCAAAACCTCTTCATATTCATTGACAGCAGTCTTGACTTGATCATCATCGTGATTCTGTCGAGCCTCCTGTACTACCTTCGTCAGTTTCCGCAGTAACTCTATATGACGTGATCCTAGTTCATCAAATTTGCGATATGCCTCCGATGCTGCAGTTTGTTGGGTAATCAGGGCATCAAGAAAGTCAAAGAGATGCTGAAATATTAAAATAAAATTTGTAAGCAGCAATCTATATACATAAAGTTACTAACCAAAACATTTTTTTGAGCTCAATTGGTAGTTCACATCACAGAACAATATTAACAAAATTGTTCTATTCACATTCCACCATTATTTGTGATCTTGGCATTTAACTCTGTTACCTTAAACAAAGGAATGCATATTTCCAAGGAGTAATGATTATGCTCAATAAATATTAAAATATTTCACGTGAAACAGAGGCACATGATGCAATAAACATTTTAGACAACAAGACGACAGCAAGGGTGACAGTCCGCAGCCACAACCACAACCACACTTTGGCTGAAACCAAGAAATGCAGAGAAGTCTAATGGAACATTACGTGACACCAACTCCAATATTAAGTAATACTTTGATTTTCAGTGGATTCCTAAGTACTTAGAGGTTGGCTTTAAAATTGGCAACCATAAGTTAGTCTGCCAAGTTCTATGTACAGTATACTCACATTATTTCAGGAAGATCTATCTAAGTTTGTTCTGCTACATGAAGCTCTAGGTGGATGTGAACTACTTAGTATACATCATACAGGGGACACAGGTGGAAACTTAGTACCCAGATGAGCCACAGAGACGTTAGAAAGAATTTTTTCAGTGTCAGAGTAGTTAATAAATGGAATGCACTAGGAAGTGATGTGGTGGAGGCTGACTCCATACACAGTTTCAAATGTAGGTATGATAGAGCCCAGTAGGCTCAGGAATCTGTACACCAGTTGATTGACAGTTGAGAGGCGGGACCAAAGAGCCAAAGCTCAACCCCCGCAAGCACAATTAGGTGAGTACAATTAGGTGAGTACAGGCTTACAGTGCAACATGAAGCTCTGTGGACGTGAACTACCTAGCATACACCATCATACAGGCTTACAGTGCTACATGAAGCTCTGTGGACGTGAACTACCTAGCACACACCATCATACAGGCTTACAGTGCAACATGAAGGCTCTGCATGTCTTCCACAACTCTATCTTCAAAAGAAGACTTGAATTTCATGCCAATAAGGCCTTATAATTTAAACCAAACATAAATAAATCATAATTCTACTAAATTTGTATACCTTAGTGACAGGAGCTGCCCTGGTGAGAATGGAAGCCTCTGTGAGAGTGGAAGCACCAGAGAGACTTCCTTGTTTTAATTCTTAAAAATGACATTCTTATGTTTGCTAACTTCCTATATGCTGCTGATGTTATCCTGTTCACATGAGCTTCTGGTGCCGGTATTGGGATTATGTCTGCTCCCAAGGCTGTTTCTTTTATTGTTTTTTGTAATTGCCTTCTTGTTATGGTACAGTTAAATACAGGTGGCTGAGCGGACAGAACACGGGACACGTGATCCTGTGGTCCTGGGTTTGATCCCGGGCGCCGGCAAGAAACAATGGGCAGAGTTTCTTTCACCCTGATGCTCCTGTTACCTAGCAGTAAATAGGTACCTGGGAGTTAGTCAGCTGTCACGGGCTACTTCCTGGGGGTGGAGACCTGGTCGAGGACCTGGCCGCGGGGACACTAAGCCCCGAAATCATCTCAAGATAACCTCAAGATAACCTCCCTTACCCATTTTCATTATTCTTCACTTATTTGGATTGAATTCCAGTAGCCTGGAATTACTACTTCTCAAATGTGTTAAGGTCTTCTTGCAGCACTCTGCTGTCCTCTTCAATTATTAACCCCCTCAAACTTTGCAAACATCTGCAAACAAACATACGATCATATTCTCTCTGCGAGATCATTTACATAAATTATAAACAGCAATGATCTTAGGAGAGAGCCCTGTAAAATGTCACTTTCCTCACCTCTCCAGCCAGACTCATCTTCTCTGATTATGACCCTTTGTTTCCTGTCCGTCAAGTGCTCCCGTACCCAGTCCAGTGTATTTCCTTGTAATCCTGCTCTTTTTTTCCCTCTGTCTGTCTGTGTCTCTGTCTGTCTGTGTCTGTGTCTGTCTGTCTCTGTCTGTCTGTCTCTGTCTCTGTCTGTCTGTCTGTCTGTCTCTCGTGATTGTGGAAGTCCTGGTGATGGAAGAACACCTGGTGACAGTAGAAGCCCTGGAGATAGTAGAAGCCCTGGCAATATTAAAACCTGTGGTGCCAGTAATAACCCTGGTGGTAGCAGAATACAAGATAAATACAAAGGCAGTACTGAACAACTTACTGGTGTTAGGTATTTGTAAGTGAGATGAGCATTTTCTGCAAGGACATCAGCTGCTAAATGATAATACTCGTATTTACAGTAGAGAAGGAGAAGGTTACCAAAGGTTTCTGGAGGGAATGGATTTTGACCCAAAAGGAATTGCAGTTTCTCAAATCCTTCAGTTGGCTTCGTCTCCATGTTCATCAAAGCCTAGGAAAGAAAAGAGATTTGTATTTGATTTTATATTCTATAGTTTTTTTAATTTAACCCTTTTTAGTTATGTCCAATATTTCTATTTTTATTTATTCTTGTGATTCATCCCTGTTTATTTCAAATTGTCACTTTGCTTATTTTTACTTTAAGAAAATTGTATTTTATATAAATGCAGCGTTCATAATTGTGCAAAGGTAGGTACCTAATAAATGTTAATGCTAAATGCTAACACAAGACACTTGATTCAAGTTCAAGTATGTCTATTGAGATAAGAAAGAAATAGATCTCAAAGGGATAGAGTAGCTTAGGCTATTTCTAGCCCCCTAAAGATACTCGAGACAACATTCAAAACAACAACAACAGGAAATCCATAAAAGCCGTGATGAAAATTCAAGCTTATGCACTGGGTGTTCGAATCTTCATCATGGCTTCTACGGATTTTTTCACTGATGTAGTCCCATTAGTGTGATTATTCTCTGTGAACAACAATAGTATTGTTGTGACAACAACAACAACAGTAGTGCTAATAAAAATTAGCTCTACTGCTGAATCATCAATATTTCAAACACGCACAGATAAGATGGAAAAAATTATTCGAGTAACATCCTCTATATCAGATTGTTGTGAAGTGGACTTTGGAAATGGACATTATTCATACTACAATGTACATACCTGATTATGGAGAGTAACAGCATCAAGTTCTTCTTCTGAGCGTGGAGGCATGTCGGTCAGTGCTTCACGAGCAGCCTCAACTGGGTTGGCAAGAGCCCGTGTAAGATCATTTTGTTTTAAAATGTTGCATTATGAAAAGATCTCAGTCTAACTTACTTCAAACTGAAATGCAAATCATGTTAGAGGCTTTGCAAGAATGTAATACTCAAGCTCTCACAACCCAATGTACCTTGTAAATAAATTACTGTAAATAAATAAGCATAAGAAATTCAGCACTGTACCTTATCTATGTATCAGTGTATGATGTCAAAGGAGAATTATGCAAAGCTATGTGTTTTATGAATTAATCACTTTCAATCATTAACAGCCGGGTTGATTATTCTTCCGAGACACTCGAGCACCTTAATGATCTTGCTCAAGAAAAAAATATATACAAGCTATACAGGACAAAAGCAAAATGTGTGTCTACAGGGCAGTAGACACAGTGCTACATAATAACTCTTAAGAAGCAAAGACTCACAATTTTTTAGCTGGTACTCTATAGCAGCCTTCAGATTGAAGGCTTCGATGAGCGCTGTTTCGTGCAGCGTGAGGGTGTTGCCAACACTGCGCACCTCAATACCCTCAGTGGTCATACCCACACTCAGCTCTGGATGCTCTCGAATACCACGTTCAATTATGTCAGCTGTAATAAAATAAGAATGGTAATCAAAGTAGTGTCAAAAGTTTCTTTTGCTCCAGATGATGCCTAACATCTGTTCTTGAAAAAGTATTCATGATTCAGTAGATGTACAAAAAAAAATTACAACTTTATATTAGCCTGCAATATGTACAATGTTCTTTTATTCATGAGGTAAATGCGAGAAACATGGGGGATCATAAATATAAATGGTAATGCATGTACCTCACTGACTTCAACCCATCTTCATCTCTGAGCTCATTCATTCCTCAATTTCCCATTTATTGCTCTGTGCATCAGTGTTTGATATGATAAAATTCTTTAGAAGCAAAACATCTTGAACAAATAGTCTACTCTCACCTTGGTCCTTATCTACACTGAAGACTAATGCAAACTACTTTAGTTTGCAAACTAGTTGCAAACTAAAGTAAATATTAACCTAGCAACTGTAGGTTAATGAAGGGAATGAGGCGAGACAGTGGGAATGGTCAAAGTTATCTTTTCTGTAGAGGTCACATTTTGGGGCTAAAACATAAATTTTCCAAATAATATTTTCACATGCAGTACTTGTATAAAAACGCTTTAATTGGAAATCAAGTTTAAATCAGGCACTAGGCACAAATCAGTTTTAATATGGTGGGGGAGATGGCAGAGTGCAGTATTACCAATGGAGCTGTTCCTGGATTTCTTGCGAAATACCTATCTATTCTATTTGTACATTGTGGACTACGCTCTGGCAAGTGGATGGAACCTGCCAGATATTTTACATCTGCTCTATATCTGATACTTTGTTCTTCTAGTTCTCTTCCATAAAAGGATGACCTGTTGAAGAATTATTGCAGACATATCACATGTCTTCAGGTGGTTCACAAGTAATACTACGCATTGTTAAGGAAGAGTTAATATTAATACAGGTAATTCACTAGTATTCATAGAGGATATGCTGCTGCAGAAAAAAACCAGCGTTGAATGTAATGAAACGCCATTTTCAGGGTGAGTTCCGGAGGCTTCCCGGAGCTATCCAGGCTGATAAGAGATAGTCCTAGCTTTTGGCCTCAGTCGATGTGGGTGGCATTTTAGGCCTACCGGGGACCACAGCCAGAACCTGGCCCCCTCAGAAAGGCACAAGGAGCAATGGCCTATAGAAATGCACAGGTGATTTTGGAGTATTCTATGTCTGTCATCGACTGGGACAGGCACCCAGAAAGGTAAGCGCCTCAAAACAAACCCCTATTCTGGTGAAACCAACGAAAATAACGAAACAAGTGGACAGAACACCAAGGGGAAAACGAGTAAACAAGCATGACGCCACACGAGCCGCGCCGCACGTCTGCCCAGCTCCACCCTTCCCGGGAGGGGAAAGGGGGAGCCTCAGACACACACGCCAGCGATCCACACCTTCAGTTCCGAGGCTGGATATCAAAACACACGAAAACCACTGACCGGACGGAGAGAGGGTTGCCAGGGAGCCTCCAGGACTCGCCCAGAAAATGGCGCTTCATTACATTTAACACTGGTTTTCTGGGAGGAGTCCATACAGCTCCCTGGAGCTACTTCACCAAAGACTAAGGAAGAAGGGGACTTACCCAGGAGGCGGTCAGTGCTTCACACGTCAACTCGAAGTCGAGACAGGATGCAGCCGCCGATCCAAAGCGACACAGGCCCGACTAGGCCCAGGAACGTTCACGAAGTAGTGTGCAGCCAGGACCCTGTTCAACTACCAAAAACCCCGTGCCCGAATGTCAGCCCAGGGCATGTTCCCAAAAATGGCAGCAAAAGCAGCAAACTTACGAACGTCATGGGTATGGGGATAGGCCGCAGGCTGGCTAGACTTAACACTATTGCACTCCGTGCGGGTGTGCCGCAGAAATGACATCATGCACCGTTTGGTGTGGGCGAGCGTGCGGTGACACCAAAAAGTGTATACTCGTTTCAGTTTTCTCACCTTAATTCTCATGCTACATCGTTTGTTTTGGTGTCATTGTGTTCGCAATAGAATTTCCTACAGGGGTATATGCATATAAGATCCAAAAGCCCTCTGTGACTCCCCACAGCAAAGCCTAAAGTCGGCAAAGTTACCCGTGAGCATGCAAAATCCGTAAAATGTGTATACTCATTTCAGTTTTCTCACCTTATTTCTCGTGCTACGTCGTTCGTTTTGGTATCATTGTGTTTGCAATAGAATTCTCTACAGGGGTATATGCATATAAGGTCTAAAAGCCCAGCATGACTCCCCACAGCAAAGCCTAAATTCAGCCAAGTTACCCGTGAACGAGCACCAATTGGTACACCTGCAGACTAGTGTATATACTCGTTCAGTTTGATAACATAAATTTTTGTGTTACGTGTTTCATCTTGGTATCAAATTATTCACAAAATAAAGGCACACATTTTGAAACTAGTCGAATAATAATAGAATAATAAATGGAATTTTAGCAAATATTTTAACTTTTGGATACTTTTTGACGCTCATCACCACAAATTTATTTATATCTTTCCAGTGTTCTGACATCAATTTTCACGTCACGTCTTTCATTTTGAAATCAAATTTTGTGCAATCTAAAGGCGCTCATTTTGAAACCACTCACAGATTGATCGGATAAAATTGAAATTTTTAACAACTACAGTATTTTAATGAGTGACGCAAGACGGAGGCAACCGAGATGACTCAGGAGAAAAATACATGACGACGGACGTTGGCAACGGAGTGCGATAGTGTTAATTAATAACCCTGTGAACGACCTGAGAGACCCGTACCCGCGAATAGGGAAAAAGAGAAACCGGATCAGCCCAAAGTGCGTCCCCGGATACAGAAGCCGTGGCGCACAAATAACAACGGAGGGCCACAACCAAACATAAAACATGATGCACCCTCGACCTGACCAACCAAGCATCAACAACCCAAGGACCCCTCCGGAAAGCAGCAGACATCAGCAAACATCATCAGACGTCAGCAAACAAGACGCCATGCTTGTTTGCTCGTTTTCCCTTAGGGGAGTTCTGTCCACTTGTTTCATTATTTTTGTTGGTTTCACCAGAATATGGGTTTGTTTTGAGGCACTTACCTTACTGGGTGCCTGTCCCAGTCGATGGCAGATATAGAATGCTCCAAAATCACATGTGCATTTCTACAGGCCATTGCTCCTCGTGCCTCTCTGAGGGGGCCAGGTTCTTGCCGTGGTCTTCGGTAGGCCTAGAACTCCACCCACATCGACTGTTGCCAAAAGTTAGGACTATCCCCATCAGCCTGAATAGCTCCGGGGAGCCGTAGGGGCCCTCCCCAGAAACACGAGTGTATGATACAATGCAAAAAAAAGTCACAATAACATGGCTGAATAACGCTGACCAAACCACACACTAGAAATTGAAGAGACGATGATGTTTTGGTCCGTCTTGGACCATTATCAAGTCGATTGTGATTGTATGGTACAATGTTAACCATCATGAAAGAAAATATATTTACTGAACAGTATTTTATTTGACATGTGCACAACACCTGTATTTTGTTACTGGTTGGTTTAGAAATGTACATTCATATGCACTGCCGAACACCCTACTATAATGTTAATACTATACATCACGCATATGTTACAGTACAGTACTTATATATGGATGCAAAAATTAAACTCTGTGGTCCCGCTAATGGCTCATAAATAAAATTGTACTACACTATTTAAACATTTGAAAAGATATTTATATAAATATCTTTATATACAGTATGAGCATATACATGCGGTCTTACCAATATGCTTCAGGGCAGGAGCAAACTGCTTGAGACGATAGTGACACAGCGAGATGTTGTATGATAAATGAGGCTGGTAACCGGCCACTTGCAATGCATTGCCAAACTTCTGACAAGCTTCTTCATACCGTCCTTCCTAAATTTAATGTCAATATTAATACGTATTCGATACTGGACATAGAAATATGGTGTTAATATTTTTAGCACTTTTAAAACTATTTAAGACAAAGTCAGTTTAAATGTCCAAGGAAGATTATTTATAAGGCTGCTGCACAAGGAAGGGGGAACTCACTCAGGAAACGCATCAGCTGATCAGTCAGCTATATACTGTATTTACATGTATATAAATATTAACTTTGTATAGATGCATGATTGACCCTTTAATTGGGTCGAAAAATAATTGAAAAATATACCTTCTCCAAAATAGGAATTGAAGTGCATATGTTAAAGTAGCAGTGGAAATTTTACCGAGATCATACTGTACACTGTATTTAAAAAGTAGGCAGATTCTATCGATTATTATACGTCACTAGATCTAGTCTCCCACGATAAAATAGACAATAGTCTATGTAATGCTTGCTTTATGTCAATTTATACAAGGTTAAATATCTGCCAACAGTAATACAGTTTATAATAATTACATTTCAAGTTCCAACAGTAATTAAGTACTTAACTATTTAATGATCTACAAGGGTTACCAGATAAGGACCATGAAATGCAATAATAGTGGTACATATATTGGTACACATTATATGTAGGACACTGATCAATGCAAGTTCTCCTAGGAACGGGAACTCTGCTAGCTCACAAGACAATCCAAGATGGGAAGGTGGCTGGTAGCAAGGCAAGATGTCGACCTTGGTGTTGCTGGTAGGGTGAATAATTCTGCCTTGACATGTATCTTACATGTATAGTCAGCAGGATGCCTGAGATGTGATGTGGCATGGTAGTCACTACAACTATGGGACTGAATGAGTGAAAGTTTTAAGGTTGAGAATGTTTGTACTACACTTTGCCCTACAAAATTCTGAATATTTAAGAGTAGATATCTTGAACTGACCTTATACAGCAGACATCCATGGTTGACTTCTGTGTCTGGGTCATCTGTGGGACATTGATCTACCAAGCTTTTGGCCCCTGGGAGGTCCTCTTCTCCATACTTGATGGCTGCCTGAAGCTTGGTAATGCGGCCAGCATACTCTGGTGCCTCTATCTGATGAGTCACTTTCATTGCCTCTTCATACAGACATGCCTAAAAAGAGATGTGTAGAGGCATTACAAAAAATTATCTGGCTTGCTTTATCAATAAATGATATAATTAAAATGTTCAAGACAATTTTAAAATAGAGTGGAACCTCGAGTGACAAGCGCCTCAATTTACAAGCATTTTGAATAACGAGCGCGCCGATCGCCGACAATTTGTCTCAATTGGCGAGCGGTCGTTTGATTAATGAGAAAACCACATGGTGTGTTCCCACTGCTTCTCGCACATTCTCAGACGCCTCCGTCGATGCAAATAAAATTTTTGTTTTGTTTAAAGATGCTAATGATGCTGGTATGTAAAAGGGTGACTGCTGTGATGTTGCAAAGCATTGACTTTTTTTGTAGAATAAAAATAAATGAAAAAATTTGAAAAAATAACAAATGTCAAAAAGGTTTATTCAGTGTTTGTCAGGTAGGCTGCTCCATTATTAATAAATAAATGAAAAATACAAAACAAATTGAACACATCTGAAACAAAGAAAGATTGTCATATTGGAGCATCCTACCTGACAAACACTGAACGAACCTTTATTACATTTGTCCGTTTTTCAAATTTGTTAATTTTTTTCTCATTTTTTTTTTTACAAAAATAGAGCAGCCTACCTGAAAAACACTGAACAAACCTTTTTGACACCTGTTCTTTTTTTCAAATTTTTTCATTTTTTTTTTTTAAGAAACATGGAGCAGCCTACCTGACAAACACCGAACCTTTTGCTATAAAAAATGAAAACAAAATTGAACAAATTTGAAAAACGGACAAATGTTATAACGGTTCATTCAGCGTATGTCAGGTAGGATGTTCCATTATTTAAAAAATTTAATATCATATTGATGTTTTTCGGTGGTGGAACGGATTATTTTTATTTCCAATATGTTAAATGGGGGAAATTTGTTTTGAAAGACGAGCATTTCACATGACGAGCACGGCGTCGGAATGGATTACATTGGTTATTCGAGGTACCACTGTATGTATATTCTACTTTACTAATTAACTTCTGCATGTAGTATAAGCACTGAGATAATTTTCTTTACTTGTATATGCTACTGTTTATGAAAGATGTTTTATGAATTGAATGTTACTCTAGCAAGACATCTGATAATTACAGCAGATGACACAGTGTACATAATCACCTGGTATAAGGCCTATGATGGAACACTGTACATAATCACCTGGTATAAGGCCTATGATGGAACACTGTACATAATCACCTGGTATAAGGCCTATGATGGAACACTGTACATAATCACCTGGTATAAGGCCTATGATGGAACACTGTACATAATCACCTGGTATAAGGCCTATGATGGAACACTGTACATAATCACCTGGTATAAGGCCTATGATGGAACGCTGTACATAATCACCTGGTATAAGGCCTATGAGGGAACACTGTACATAATCACCTGGTATAAGGCCTATGATGGAACGCTCTACATAATCACCTGGTATAAGGCCTGTGCATAGTACAAGCGATAGTCCTCAATCTCAGGAAAAATAATGGTGAGGTGTTCATAGCAGTTGGCAGCATTGACAAAGTCTTGCATGTAGAAGTAGCAGTAGGCCAGGAGAGACAATGCAGCACGTGACTGAAAGAATGCCAAGTAGTCCATGACCAGCATTACAAAATTTGGTACTCTGTGATGAATTACTCAACGAATTACAAAGCATGTTTTCATCCAACATACAGTAATGAAATAATGTCAGCCAGTACTACTGTTCATTAGACGTACACAGTGCAGTGCAGTAGTACGTATCACAGACCACAATGTTGGTCTGTACTTAAAATTGACATCTTAGAAAAAAAATGTGTGTTTTAAATTTCATATTTTTGTTTGTTAAAAACAAATTTATTGTACTTTATATATATACTGCAATTTATATATACGATGCTGTCTGAGTACTCTACTGGTAGCACTTTCTCTCTCTCTCTTGTACTGTTGTTCTCCATTATAACAAAAATCTCTGCAAGTCAAATGTGCTTTAATTTTACTCAATACTGTACTTTTATTTTGGTCATTAAAGTCCTTAAACCATGCAATACTGAAAAATTTACAAATGTTATATAATGGACTTTACTGATTAGATATGAAATTTCCCTTTAAGTAGATACTCCTGTGTACGTCTTCTTTTCTTCTGATAAGACAGGAATAATTTGACACTTTTCCACTAATAGGAGATAATTATTAAACAAAGCAGGTCCCTGATTCAAATTAGAATAAGACTCACAAAACTTTAAACAAAAGTTAATGAAATATCAAGTTAAGACTAACTAAAGCTAATTAACATTGTGGTAGGAGCAGTAAAGTCTCAAAGTCTATGAGCATTTTCACTATTAAAGCTTTATTATCCTCTCCTCTTCTATCGGCCCTTGGTGAGTGCTGCCAATATTGCAACTTTTTATAATGATAATAATTTATTTATAAAAATAGAGGGGTGAGATTGCAGTAGACGGTTAGTAGGTACAGTATTTGCATAATGTATTTTATAAAGCCACACATTATGCGCAGCATTTCAAATATAAATTAAAATTAAGATACAGTACTGTAATGAGTGTACAGTATTGGGTGTGACACTTTTGGGGTAATACTTAATGCAGTATTATAGTATATTAGATGTCGGCAAACGTACATAAGTGATTAATGAAATTTAGCAAATGATAAACAATCTTTTTATGTGATACCTGAAGACGAGGGGTATATATTACTTTACTCTTTGCTTCTGTAGCTTTAGTGTTAACTATAATAACAATACATTAACAGTATTTAATATTAACAACAGCAACAATCACAAATTGTCATAAGTAGCATGAATAAGCGTGTGACACTGATGTTACTTAATGAGGCAGATACATTAATATCTACATCATGTTAATTACATATTTGTTTATTTTTAAATTGGTTAAGCTTTAATAATGGAATTTTAATATTGTACTATAATAAGAAAACTGTCCTCAAATGTATCGTCGCCTTCATAAGTATTTTAATTAAAACAGTCTAAATTTAAACATTAGCCTCACTGTCCATGGAAGACCAGAAATATTGTATAATTTCTTGAAATTAGTAATGGTGTACTCTGAAAGTCAAGTTTTAGAAATCTAAAAGAAATATATAAAATAAGATATTTTTTATCAAAGCACAAAGTTTGTTATAATGTTTTTTGCTAGCTACAAGAAATGCCAACAATATAATTATTTCTGCATGCTAACATTTAACAAACCACTCTCAGTTGAAATGTAAAACAGAGGATTGCAAAGAACATTAGAGAAATTGGCACTTTACAAACATGTTGACTTTCTTGAAAACATGAAGAGCAAAGAAAAATTCATCACCAAGAGTGCATTACTGTACAACTTCACTCTTCAAGCATATACACACTAAAGGCAAGCATCATGTTGTCAAACTAAAGGATTATGACGGCATATTTCTCATGTGATAAATATCTTCATCCAGAGAATGTTTATATTATGCTAATTGTAACTTGCATCTAGGCTGCACAGTAATATTTATCCAGGTAAAGGCAGGCTGGAAGAGCATGAGAGAAGACACATGTCAGAGGAAGCACACCCCAACCAAAAACATGTTCCCGAGCAAAGGCAATCAAAGGAGGTAACAGTCATGAGGGGAGACTGAACCCATCTACGGGCCACTGGCTAGGAAAGGAGCACAGCCCCAAAGCTGCATAGCTGAGTCACAAACTCAAACACACAGGAGGGGAGTGAACTACTAAAAAGGTAAACAAGTGGGAGAGACAAAGTTACCAAGAACACCAGAAGAGAGTGCAAAGGTCCCCAAGCACTGGAAATATGTGGAAGCAACCCAAAGGTGCAGGGGCCCAAAAGGACAAGGGCCTAGAAAGCCAGACAAGTATTGCCAATAGAAAGAAGTGGTCCATACAACATACCAGAAGATAATTGTAGCCACCAAGTGGAACAAAGATCAGAGGAAACAGCAGGAACAACAATAAACAGACAATAAACATCACTGGTGCAAGAACTGAACCCTGTGGTACTCCACTTGTGACATTTCTCCATTCCGATACATTGCCTCTGATTTTTCTATCAGTCAGAAAATTTTTCATCCATGTTAGAAGCTTACCTGTCACCCCTCCAATATTTTCCAGTTTCCAGAACAACCTCTTATGTGGAACTCTGTCAAAAGCCTTTTTTAGGTCCAGATAGATGCAGTCAACCCAACCATCTCTTTCCTGTAATATCTCTGTGGCTCGATCATAGAAACTGAGTAAATTCGATACACAGGATCTTCCAGATCGAAAACCATACTGTCTGTTTGATATTATATCATTTCTCTCTAGGTGTTCTACCCATTTAGTTTTGATTAGTTTTTCCAATACTTTCACTATTACACTTGTCAATGATACAGGTCTATAATTGAGGGGGTCTTCCCTGCTGCCACTTTTGTAGATTGGAACTATGTTAGCCTGTTTCCACACGTCTGCTACGATTCCTGTACACAGGGATGCCTGAAAGATCAGGTGAAGTGGAATGCTGAGCTCAGATGCACATTCTCTCAGAACCCATGGTGAAACGCCATCTGGGCCAGCTGCTTTGTTCTTACCGAGCTCCTTGAGCATTTTTTCCACTTCGTCTCTAGTCACCTCTATGCGCTCTATGTTGTTCTCAGGAATTCTTATTGTATCTGGTTCCCTAAAGATTTCATTTTGTACACACACACTTTGGAACTTTTCATTTAGTGTTTCACACATTTCCTTTTCATCTTCCGTGAATCTATTTCCCATTTTCAACCTCTGAATATTATCCTTTACCTGCAATTTGTTGTTTATGAATTTATAGAATAGACCTGGTTCTGTTTTACATTTGTCTGCAATCCCTTTTTCAAAATTTCTTTCTGCCTCTCTCCTCACTGCCGTGTAGATGTTTCTCGCATCTTTGTATCGCTGGTATGTTTGGGGGTTCGGCCTCTTCCTGTATTGAATCCATTTTTGTGTCTTTTGGTCTCTAGCCCTCTCGCAATTTCTATTGAACCAATCCTGTTTCCTAGTTCTGCATCTCTGTTTTGGTATAAATTTTTTTGTGCCTTTATCATATATTTCACAAAACTTGACATACATCTCATTCACTTCCTTGCCTAGCATCAAGTCTGTCCAATTATACTCACTAAAAAAATTTCTAAGGTCACCATAATGTCCTCTCCTGAAGTCTGGTTTTCAACTGCTTCAACCTCCTTATTTTCTTCCAGCTTATAACGCATTGCATACTTTATTCCCAAAAAGACATGGTCACTTTTACCCAAGGGAGGAAGGTACTGAATGTCAAATATCTCTTCCTCCTTCCTGGTAAATATCAAATCTAGCATGGAGGGAACGTCCCCTTCCCTCATCCTCGTAGCTTGTTTAACATGTTGATACAAGAATGTTTCCAGGATGAGGTCTACAAATTTACAGGTCCAAAAATCTTCTGTTTTAGCTTCATATGCTTCCCAGTCTATGGATTTCAAGTTGAAGTCACCGACTATCAACAGTCGTGATCTATCGTTATCCGCTCTCGCTATAATCTCTCTCATTATTGTTATAAGACCTTCACGTTTACTATCTAGCTCCTCCTTTGACCATGTGCTGCTTGGCGGTGGACTATATGCATTTATTATCATTAGTTTATCATCCTCATGGCAGATCTCTAGTGCTATTATGTCAACTTCTTGTGGATTGGCAGTCATTATTTCCTTCACCTTTAGGTGTTCTTTTACCAGCACAGCAACGCCACCGCCTTTCCTAATTTTTCTGTCCCGTCTCCAAATTGAGTAGCCCCTTGGGAATATGACCTCATTTAAAATTACATCTTCAAGTTTTGTCTCCGTGAGTGCAACAATGTCTGGTGTCTGCAGCTGTATTACATCACTTAACTCCAGTATCTTCGATCTCACTCCATCTATGTTGGTGTATGCAATCTTCAGGAACTTGTTCCCCCTCTCCTTATTCTTCACTTCCCCTCTCTCTATTGATTTTGTTGGTTTGCCTTTATGTACCACTTTACTGGTTTGCCTACCCCTATCACTTTGTAGAAAAAAGAATTTATTTCTTCTTCATTCCTGCTCTCATTTAAATGTTTTGCCTCGGCGAGGTTCAGTTTCAGCTTCTCTCTATCTTCTTTTGAAAGATCTCGTCTTAACGACCACCCTTTCCCATCCTCATCACTTTGCAATTTTCTAGCATTCCTTAGTACTTCTTCCATCTGTTTGGCACCGTTTAGGGTGATCCTCAAAGGTCGATCTTTCCCTTTTACGTACCTGCCTATTCTCCTGTAGTCGCACACATTCTCTATGGTTGTAAGACCTTCCACGAGGCCAACAATTTTATCTACTATTTTAACTTCTTCTACAGCTCTTTCTGACCTAGATGTTATCGCCTTTTCTTTGCAGCCAAAAATAATCAGGGACTTACTCCGATCAACTGTGTTTTGCACCAACTTCGGGTTAGATGCCAATTCTTTTCTCACTTCCAGCCTAATGTTTGTTTTATCTTGGTTGCTGCAGTGTTTGACTTCCTTTACTGCTTCTATTTTTTCCTTCTCCTTGGCCACTTGTGCATAAGTGAGTTGCATATCTTTCTT